AATGTCAAAGGAACCCCTGACCACCCTTCCCTTCTCTGACAGTAGGTTCCACCCACTACTGTACTCTCTCTGGAAACATCTTTCCTTCCCTCCTCCACACTGGGTCCAAAGATGTGCAAGCAAATATTACCTCTTCTGCCTCACCACACTTAACCAGCCCCCAGCTTTTGGACTGGGGACCAGCCAACACTTTCTCTCTCCTAAAGCACTCCTTGGTTAACTCAACCCCCTTCCTCCACTGCTTCTTCTCAGACTCCTTCCCAGGACTCTCTGCCTTCCCCTACCCCATACATACAGCCATGCCCCCAAGAGTCCAAACTTAGCCTTCCACCCTTCTTCCTCCTCATACCCATTTTCCACCCTTCCATAACACTGGCATCCCCAGAGCTCCACACGAACTTCTCCCAGGTTTCAGACCCCTATGTTCAAACTTCCTGCTGCAAACACCTCGGTGTCCAGGCACTGTTCCAAGTGCTGGGAATACACCCACCAACAGAACAGACAAGCTCTCAGCCCTCATGAAGCTTACGCCATGCGGGAGAAAGAGACGTGAGCAAACAAAGACATGTCAGGTACCCACAGATCCTTTCAAGAAAATCAGACCAGGGGATGCAAACTGGAGTGACCGAGGGCTCTAGGCATGCTTTAGATGACTAGAGGGACAGGGGCACATTAGCTGAGGTTTGAATGATGTTTGAAGGGAAGAGAGTATTCCAGTCAGAGGGCTCGGCAAAGGCCTGAGTAAGATCATGTGTGGTGATGCTGAAGGGTGCCAAAGCCAGAAGCCACAGGGCACTGAAAGCCACAGAACAAAAATGTGGGCTATTAGTGGTAGTAGGTACTGGGGATTGAACCCAGGGGTACTTTACCAGTGAGTACATCTCCAGTCCTTTTTTATTTTTGAGACATGGTCTCACTAAGTTGCATAGGGCCTTGCTAAGTTGCTGAGGCAAGACATCCTCCTGCCTCCACCTCCCGAGTTGCTAGGTTTACAGGCATGCACCATGACAACTGGCTATCAGCTGTATTCTAGAACAGTGAAAAACAATGAGAAGATTCCAAGCATGGCAACACCAGATCTGCTTGACATCAAAAATTTTTAAAAATAAAACAAATAAAGGCTGGAATGTAGCTCAGTGGTAAAGCACTTATCTTGTATGCATGAAGCCTTGGGTTCCATTACCAGAGCCAAAAAAGAAAAAAGTCTCTGGGCCTGTTTCATAGGCATCTCCCTTGGGCCACCTTGAACCAAAGCTGAAATCCATCCCCTCCCTCACAAGTGGCCCAGTCCTGTCAATTCAGCCTTGGGCTCTTCTTGGAGCTTTCTCCACCTTTCCCAATGCCACTGCCCCTCTCCGGTCTGCCAGCTATGAAGCTATGTCCCAGGCCGCCTCTCTGTCTTCCCCACCTCCAGGGCCTGCCCCTCCAAGTCAGACATAGTTGTTTCAGTACAAGTCAGGTCAGACCATTAATCCCACCATGAAGCCCTTACTACTCTATGCTGCCCTAACACAAAATCCAAATGCTCAACTCATCCTCAATCCCCTGCCCAGGCCCCCAGAACAAAGCTGGGTCTCTCCTACCTCTCCTCCTTGACACTGGGGGTTACCTCTTGTTCACTACTCTCCCTCACCAGCACCTACTGCTACTCAGCTGTCACCTTAGTTGGCTATGTGACCATAGATAAATGACTTAACCTTTCTATGTCTATTCCATCAGTTACCCCATCTACAAAATATGAGCAATAAGGTAGTCGAGAGAACACAACTCATTAAAACTCATTTAACCTAGGGGGCAAACTTCAAATCACACGCTCCTTGGCTGGAAAGCTGAGACTCAGAAAGGAGAGGCGACTTACCTAAGGCCTCCCAGCTAAGCCTCCTATACCCAGGCCTCCTGACCCTGACCAGTGCTCCCTGCACACTGCCCACAACCTCCAGAGTTGAGCACCAGTGAAGGACATCCACCAGAGAGGCAAGCTTCAGCATCACGTGGGTCAAAGACAGTGCCACTGAATCCTACTGACCACAAGTGACAAGGCCTGACATTCTGACACAAGGCTTGGGAAACAGACTGCAGAGGTGGCAGCTTTGGACATGGGATGGGGGAGGGAGAAAGGAAAGATGACTCGGCAGGGCCAGGGGCACAGATGCCACTCTGGGAGAGGCACAAGCAGCTCCCTTCTGTGAGCAGGGGCAAAGCGGCTTGCGAGCCTGGTCAGCTGTGGAATGCTGCATTCCGTTCCCCAGGGATAGCACCCGGACTCCGAAGAGGGGAGATTCCTCACTCTGCAGCTGAGGACTCGGCTATTGCCCTTGCCCGCCTGCCTCCTGTTACCCGCTGTGGTAGGGAGAGGGCTGTGACCCACCCCACTTTGCGGAAGCCTAGGGCGAGGCATCCATCCCCGGTGCTGGAGGAGCTAGGAGGGGAGGACAGGCCAGACTGTCCCCTCCAACAAATCCAGGGAGGGATTCTTCTCCCCACAAGGGGGTGGGGCAAGAGAGGGGCCAACCCACGTACAGCATGGCCCTGGGGTCTGGAGGCAAACACTTCTTCCGCCGCTGGGCCTTGGGGTCACACCGGGAGACTCCGTGCCCCGCTGCGGAGGGTCCCGCCCCCCAGCAATCCAGGCCTCTCGGGGCTCGCTCGGGTGGTCCGAGGACTCGGAGCCGGGGTGAGAGGAAGGAGACGGGGACGGTCTGAGCCGCGAGCTCTCGGAGCAGGGAGTGGCCTCCCCCAGTAGGGGACTGGACCTCCTTCCACAAGCCCAGCACAGGGCCCGAAGCCGACCCCGTGCTCACCCAAAAGACAATGTTGAAGCCAAACAGGAAGTATTTCCCGCAGCAGCCGACCTCGGGTTCCTGGAAGTGCTGGTGCTTGCCGGGCATGGTGAGCGGCCACCCTCCGGCCCGGGAACCGGAGCCGGCGAGCGGGCCCAGCCCCCAGCGGGCCGCCCTGGGCTCGAGCCGCCGCGGGCCTAGCCCGGCGGCTGCGGCTTCATGGCCGCGGACACACAGAGCGCCGGCCGACCCCGCCCGCCCCGCAGGGACCGCCCCCGGCGCCCGGGCAGCCCCGCCTGGAGCGCAGAGCCGTCCCCTCGGAGCCCCGCCCACAGCCCGGCTCGGTGCCCCCGAGGCCCCGCCCTCGAGTCGGCTCTACCCACAGCCCGACTCCGCCCCCTCGGAGCCCTACGGCTGCTCCTGGCTCCGCTCCCAGCCAGAGTTTGTCTCCCTGGAGGTCGGCCTCTGAGTCCTCTCACAGACCGCCCCACCAACCTCCTGGCGTCCTTTAGACCTGCAGGAGATGCATACTGAGGGCGCCAGCGACCGCCACGTGAAGATTTACAGATCCCTCAGCCCCTGCAAGGCTCAGTTCCAGCGGCACCCCCGTCTTCGCCCTTGCAGTCTAGAGTAAAAGCTGCTGGTGAGCGGATGGCGAAGGTTAACACACCTGTCGCAAGTCTAATTACAGACCGTGCATTGCATTCAACAGAAATTCAGCTGATTCTTGCTCAGACTCAGGTCAAACGAGGACCTGAATCTTATGAGTGCCAGCCTGTTGCTCTTTCAGTTTTGCTGGGAACCTGTCCCCCACCCCTTGGTGGTTGAGGTCTCCTAGTTTAACCCCTCTCCCTCATATCAGCTTGGACCCTGGTGGGCCTCCTTGGTACCTAAGAATCTCACATGAGCTCCTTCCAGGCAGGGCGGGGGCTTGAGGGAGCCTGAATCTTAAAATTTTGGAGCCCTCTTTAAAAATAATTCCAAGTTTGGGGCTGGAGTTGTAGCTCAGCTTGCCTCCTACGTGTGAGGCACTGTGTTCGATTCTCACCACCACATATAAATAAGCAAATAAGAAATAAAGGTCCATCAACAACAAAATAAAAATAATAATTCCAAGTTTGTTAAGAAGTATTTATTTAGAAGAAGTACCTAACTTAAGCTTCATCATCTTCAGGTGAATCCATCTCTAACAAAACTAGAACAGGGCGTCCACTACCATCAAGCTCCTGTCCTAGGGCCTGGGCCTAAATTAGGCAAAGCAGACACCACTGGCTGAAGGTGAGAAGCCATTGAGGGCTTCTCAGTTCTCAGCATCCACCTCTCTCTCTCTCTCTCTCTCTCTCTCTCTCTCTCTCTCTC